TTTTGATGTTTTTCCAACCTGCTGGGGAGTTTTTGGGGCTCAGGGTGTTAATAAATGTGTAACTAAGCACTATAAAACAGAAGAGCAAGCAGTTATTTATGATTGAGAGGTCTTACTGAGTATTTAAAATGTTTTTTACTTAGTTTTTTTTGTTTTGAGTTACTTGTTCTGTAGCAAATATATTGGAAGGAAAACTCTGTATGGTCAGCTGGTGCTTATCAGCAGTATCCAGCTTTTTATCCATTAGCCAAACTGAGTACTGCGTGTCATTACAGAGTAGCTCGCTTCAGGACGGTCAAATTACACACCAAAGTTTAAGGCAACATTTCACTGCTTATATAGTGAATATAACTGAAGTAACATCTCCTCTCTATGTGTTTCTCTCACAGGTTTTACCAGCAGTAGCAAAACTGATCCTGGTGCATTTTCACTGGCAGGTCTCACAAATACTGGACAGGTTGGTCACTCCTGCCTCTTCCTCCCCATTCCTGTCTCTTCCCTTGTCATGTTTGCAGTCTTTCTTTTTCATAACCTCCTCTCTGCCTCTATAATCCACCCCCCTTCCTGTATTTATTCTCATTATTCTGTGCTACTTCTCTCCTGGCTTTCCTCCTCCTTGCTGTTTTTACCTTATTATCTCCTTGTGTCTGATACCTTCCTGAAACCTTTTGATCTTTTTCATTCGTTCTCTGATTCTTTCTCTCGTTTTCTTTCATTTTTTTGGCACTGCGGTTTACCCTGTAGAATAACAAATACAGAATTTCTTGAGGCCCATACCCATACTGTCTTTTGAGAGTGCCTGATAAATTTTTAATGCTCTTCAACATCCCTTAAACCCTCTCAAAAACGACATTTATTTTTTGAAATGTAAGCTGTCCCCACTCTGTGATGGACAAACTGTTTTCATTTATCAGCTGACATTCAGTATACGATGATCTGAGACATCTGCTAGAAGCGTACACTGTCTTGTTTATCAATCAGGCTCTATCTCACACTTCCATCTTCTTCAGTTCCTCATCTGACTCCTGGTTCTGTCCATGTTTCCCACAGATATAAGTCCAACTCGTCTCTGCTTTTGTCGGACGCTCTGGTCCAGCCCAGCAGCACCTGCAGATCAGTCACTGTGAGTTTGAGTCTGTATCTGTTAGCTACTTATTCCTGCTGTTCTTATACTTGCAGCAAAGTTAACTTTAAGGTTGTCATGCAGCAGGTAAAGCAGTAGCACCGACGTGGCTCTTGATTAGTGGATTGATTAGTGATTTATTGAGGTGATCTTTTCAACGCATCAAATCACGACATGAGTCATTTCAAGGCACTAAACATAGAAAGGTGATTATTATAAAGACAGACTCAACAATTCCCCCTGAGCATCACTTGGTGAATGTAGCGAGAAACAAACCTGCTTTTGACAGTACAACCCTCCAACAGAATGAGACTCAGGGTGTGCAGCCATCTGCCTGCACCGATTGGGGTTAGAAGAGAGCGGAGAGGAAAGATGTGTGACTAAGGGATGGTTCAGGGTCACCGGAGCCAGTCCTAATTATAAGCTTTATCAAAAAGAAAAGTTTGAAGCTTAATCTTCTGCCTCCTGAACCCAAACTGAGAGCTGATTCCACTGGAGAGGAGCCTGATAGCTGAAGGCTCTGCCTCCCATTCTACTTCTGGAAACTCCAGGGAGCAAAAGCAAGCCTGCACTCTGAGTTTGAAAAGCTCTGTTGGGACGATGTGGTACTCTGAGGTCTTTAAGGTACAATGGAGTTTCTTTTAACCTTGTTAGCATGTCCACGTGGTCTTTTTTTTTTATCTGCGAGAAGACACATCATAGTGGAAATGAGTAGTCGGCACCAAGGCTGAGAACTGCAGTGTGCCGATGAGTCCTAAAAATACAGATTTCTGAGGTTTCATACATAACAAATCTAAGGAACCAATCCTGTCAGCTTGCAGGGTTGGACTTCCTGTATCATTATTAGGCTTCAGAATTAGTTTTTGGTGCAAACACGTATGACTTATTTACTCCAATACGACTCGTTGCTGTGTAGTGTAGGCTAGTTTATCAACAGCAAATGAGGAGGCGACTGAGTAGATCCATACGTTCTAGAGAAGCAACAATACACAGTTAAATCGAGGTCATTTTAAGGCAGGAAGGAATATTTTTCTTTTAAATTACTGCCACACAAAGATACGTTTTTAGGGGTTTAATCAATGATTTTAACTCTAATGTCCTTGTATGTGAGGGAAGAGATTTTAAATTTGATTCTGGATTTCACAGGAAGCCAGTGTTTAGAAGTAAACATCCTTTGGTACATCCGGTTGGTATTTGTGCTGTAGTTTGACGAGGCAGTTGAGGGCAATGATAACTGTTAAATTTGGCTTTTTCTTTTTAGCCAACTTTCCAGTGTGGCTAACATGTCTAAATGCACATGTAGCATCAAAGTAACTTTAGTTAATGTTACTGCAAGCTACTAAAAAAATCAGACAAGTAAGTCAATCACCAACACCAGTGATGAGTGATCAGCTGAACTCCTGCAGAAACTATAAAATGCACCCTTAAATGCTGCTCGTGGGTATCTCTGCATGGATTTGTCCTTTTATAGGCAGCTGATGTATGTACAATGTGTGAACACTCTGTTGCACAATAATTCCCTTCTGTTGATATTGTCAAAATGTTTTGATTTTCAACCGCAATAATAGCGAAAAGCACATTTAAGTTCAGCATTATGTCATGTAATTTCATTATTTGTCCTGACGTTTTAGATTTTCGCTGTAGTATCGTATCAAAGTCGTAGTTTTGGTTTGGTGATGACTCTAGCATGGACTACTTCTTCAGCATCACCCTGAGAGGAGTCCTGGTTAGAGCTTCTCGAAGTAGATGATTTGCTGCAATTCTGAGTTTCTGAAGAGTTTTATAGTCGTTTTATAGTTCAAATTAAGGAGTAAATTTTTCGGCTTCATGCACACTTTGCTTTTATATACCGATATTATCAGATAATAAAGGAGAATCACTTGACGCACTGGCTTGTGGAGTGATAATCATGTTTGTTTGGCAAAATACTTCAGATAAGTTGACCTCTTTTGTCAAACAATCAGTAGCTAGCTGATTATTCTTTTGCTAGGTGACATTTGTTAATCTCCCTACATACCAGTTAAATACCAGTGCTACAGATTTCCTTTCACTTTCGTCTGACTGTATTGTGACATCTTATGTGCAACAAGCATGTCATGGCTACTGTTTGTGTGTTAATGTGTCGTGTTTGTATACTTCAGGCCCCTCAGTCCCTCCAGTGTGGTGTCTGTCTACAAGTTGTACGGAGAGACTCCCTGCTGGCGCTGCCCTGCCAGCACTCCTTCTGCAAAGCATGCTGGGAGCAGCACTGCACCGTACTGGTCAAAGACGGCCTGGGAGTGGGTGAGTACAGCGTGTTTGCGTGCCCCTCTATAGGCGCAGCGAGTGAGTCAGGCTTTGTTTAATCAGTGCACCCAAAGGTCTGTTCTTATATCTGTATGTCTGCACTTTGTGTATTTATGCGCTGATGGTGTGTGTGTGTGGGTATTTGTGTGTTTAACCTCGTCGGGTTTCTGTCATAGTTTCAGCCTCGAATCGTTTCTGAGACTTTATTTTCACCTCTGCTTTCCTGCCAGACCAGCAGAGATTTGCAGAGGGGTAATTCATTTGAGCTACATCAGCACCTACTGAAGCCGTTTTTACTGACGGAAACGACGCCGATCCTGGATGTCTGTACACAGGACTCATAATTGTTTACCTGTTTCTGCATGTGTGAAAAATCCAAGAACGTCTCGGGACTTTAAAGATGAAGGAGGTGTAATATGAGGTTTTGATGACTCCCATCTGGAGTAAAGTTTACCTGGGCGGGCGTGCTTCTGCGGCAGCATCACGATCATCGGTGTGCGTTCGTGAAAGAGTGTGCTTGTGTCAGCAGGATAGCAGATGGGTGTGTGGGTGTGTATATGGATCGCTTCTAAGTTTTAGTGCAGTATACTGTATGCGTGTGGTAAAGTGCTTACAGTTTACCAGACTCGCTGTCCTTTTAGTTGTGAGTGTGTGGGAGCACAAGTGCCTTTGTAGCGGGGCGTGTGAGCATGTTTGCATGCACAGGCAGTTGCGTGTCCCTGTGCTACTTTTTAAAACTGTGTCTCTGATAAATTCAGTCCACATAACCGAGTCCTTCTGAGTCTGATAAGCGTCTCACTGTCAGCTGCACCAAGGACGGGTTTCTGATGACAGATGACCCCAATCCAGTTTCTAGGCCACTCTGGTGCAAGAAACCAGCCCGCTCAAACCAAACACAGCTGCAGGGAAACGTTCAGTCACATATGAAGTTTAATTTAAATGATGGGGGCAGTTTATTTGCGCATAAGTCTCTGCTTGGTTGCTCCTCTCACTTTTCAGATTGGTGAGTTCTTCATGATAAATTTGTGTTTGTGTGTTCAGGAATCTCGTGTATGGCTCAGGACTGTTCCCTGCAGATGCCAGAAGACTTTGTCCTGCCGCTGCTGCCAGGAGAGGAGCTGAAGGACAAATACAGACGCTACCTCTTCAGAGACTATGTCGAGGTGTGTGACGGACTCTGTGTGCCGAGTGTGTTTGCTCGGATGCTGCGTCAGGGTCTGCAATGTTTAGCAAACGAGACATCGGGAACCTGTGGCGAGGCAGTGAGAGAGAGAGTTAGCACTTGTGTGTTTTTTGGCGAATCCTTGATTTATCTTATAAAATTGTGATTTGATTTCTAATGCAAGTTCTTTTTAAGTCGAGCATCAGTTTTACTGTGTCCTAGATTTTAAACACTACAAGATAGACAAACAGAAGCGTGACTGTCACACAAGGAGGGCGGCATAAATTAATAAAACCACTGATATGACAGTTTAAATGCTGACTCAGATTACATAAACCCTAAATTGCAGCTTTTGCGATTTGCTAATTGCATTATGATTTGATTAGAAGTCAATGAATCATTTAACTCTACTATACACGGCATAAAATCTGGAACATCCCTTATTCTCTGATCATGTCTGTCTCACCAGCTGGTCATCTATCTAAACCTATTTAGGCATATTCCATATTTCATTTATGTTTCCCTAAAGAATCATTCATTCAAGTGACAAAGAAATATGTTTTAAGTTGTAATTACCAGATCCTGTGCTGTATCTGAGATTTGTGCCTACAATGGAGGTGAATGTAAACGATGACTGCGGCGCTCACAACAGTGGAAAATGTACATTTAAAAGATTTAACACCCCTTCCCATAAATAGTTGCACTCTAAGGCTGGACAGTCCACAGAATACAATATCAAGTTTTATTCCAAAACATTTTCCAGCAGAAGGTTCATTTTTGTGTCACATATGTTCCTTAACCGCCGTCTGTCTCGGCTTTTTTCGCAGAGTCACTTCCAGTTGCAGTTGTGTCCGGGTGCCGACTGTCCCATTGTCATCAAGGTGCAGGAGCCTCGGGCACGCAGGGTGCAGTGTAGCCGCTGCAGCGAAGTCTTCTGGTAGGATGCACACATACAACGAAACGGATGCTTGTACAAACATTAATGAGGCGGTTTCATCTTAAAATTCTACTCAGGAGTTCACAAAAACTGCAGGATTAATTAGTGTTGCTGTTGTTTGCTAACTGCTATAATGGTCAGATTTATTTATATTTTTTTCTGCCTGCCTACTGGCTGTTAAACAGGGTTGCATTTAATATTACTGACCACAAACTATCCAGTTAAGATCAACTTTCACTCTGGAACAAAATGCTAGTAAGAAGAAAATGAAGACACTGATTTTTCTTTTTTTTTTTTTTAATTGATTCAACTTTGGATTTCCAGTTTTTGTGAAGATCTTTCTGTCTCCAGGCTTCAAGCAAAACTATACAAAAGATTCTCTCATAGACTCACAGCTGGCAGAGTTTTGGAATTAATCAAATGCTTTCTTAACACAGAGATCTTTCAAGAAAAAAGAAAATCATTTATAGTAGCCCCTGTTTGACCTGTGTTGTTCAACAGAATGTTCAGTTCAGAAACTTATGTACTGAGTTCAACCGCAACTGTCTTTTTAGTATTTAAATAGTAGTTGTGTAAACTTCTGTTTCTTGCCTATTTGCACCTTTAGTTTATAAACCTGTTTTATCTGTTGACAGATTATTTAGCATGTAAGTATATGATAAGCCTTTTTTGTTCACGTCTAAATGTTAACGTCTGTATTTGGTTTCTCTCCCTCAGTTTTAAATGCCGTCAGATGTATCACGCACCCACAGACTGCGCAACAATTCGAAAATGGCTGACCAAATGTGCAGACGACTCAGAGACTGCAAACTACATCAGCGCACACACTAAAGATGTATGACATCAACACACATCCTATAAATACACATGCATGCTCACAGAAAACCACACAGTTTGAAAATATAATTTGTAAAACACAAATATCAGGTTTTTTTTTAGCAATGCTGTCCTGAAACGTGAAGGTTAAGAGTTGTTCATTTCTCTTCTAGTGTCCTAAGTGCAATATCTGCATTGAGAAGAACGGAGGGTGCAATCACATGGTGAGTCAGAGCTGAAAATCACACTTTCCCAGAACACAGGAAATGCTAAAAATATATTCAGATTCTGAGAGCTGAGGTCCTCAACTTTAATAGCTCAACACTCAAGAGCACAGACATGTTACCTGTTGTTTCCTTTTATTTTTAAGTCTGCGAGCTGTATGTGAGAGACTCCAGTTGTATGAACACCTTCGGTTGTTCCTTCAAAGTGAAACTATGGCGTATGTGGTTGTTCATCAGATTTCTGGTTCACTAGTTTGACTTCCTTTTGTGTTTTTGTTTGTTTCAGCAATGCTCCAAGTGCAAACACGGTAAGTTTCACACCTCCTGCCTGGTCCGGTGCAGCTTTCTGTGAGGCACTTTGCATCCATCTAGTGGCGTTATGCAACATGCAGAACACAGTCATATGTGCAGCATTAGAACAACTGAACTTTTTTAATTTGGTGCTTGGTTAGAGTCAGTACAGTCGTGACTCGATAATCCGACCCTTAACAATCCTAAACTTTGCTATCTGACAGGTTTTTAGGAAAAACGAATGGAACTCATTAAAAACAGCCTTAACATACCGACAGCCTTGGATTCTGACTCCGACATGACATTTTATGTCACCAATCAGGATAACGGCGTATTATCTGACTGAACAATCCCACAGATTGGCTACGTTCACACTGCAGGACTTAATGCTACATTTGGATTTTTTTGTAAAACACGATTTTTTTGAGTTCCTTCACATTTCCAGTTAAATGTGACTTGTATGTGATCTGCTGTGTGAACTTCATACGACCCAAAAGTGTCCCGCATGCGCAGAAGAGGACACAACGACGTCACATGCAGCGAGCGTGCTCAGTGTTTATGGAAGTAAACACAGATGGTAACAGTGGAGCGTATCTGCCACTCCCAGAAGTGTGTTAATACACTAGTTATTATAACAACTATAAACAATGAATATTAGCAACAAATGAGCCTTCAAGCATCAAGCCCTCCTTGTATCTTGACCTCCGTCTTGACATTCCGACAGCCTTGATATCCGACATAAAAGAAGGTTTTACATTTAGTGTCGGATTATCGAGTCACGACTGTATTTAACGTCCTTTTTGCACCTTTTGGCTAACGTTGACAGTGAACACATTTATAGGAGCATGTAGGTAAATCGATGATCTAAGTTGGCTCCACGTGCCGCCAGCTTCTTCTTGACTAATTAGATTTTGTCAGAATAAAAATGTAGTTCACTCACTGTTGTTAGTAACCTGGAGAAATAAATAAATATAACACCAGCATCATTCATTTGAGGCTGCTGTAGACTGGACTGTGAGACTGAACTTGTAAACACACGTCACTTTCTGAGCACACCGTGTAAATCATGTATGTACCAGAGAGCCCGTAAATATGTGTTGTTTTGTGTCTTCTGACAGACTTCTGCTGGATGTGTCTTGGAGACTGGAAGACTCATGGCAGTGAATACTACGAGTGCAGCCGCTACAAAGAGAACCCCGACATAGTCAACCAGAGCCAGCAGGCTCAGGCCCGAGAGGCCCTCAAGAAATACCTCTTCTACTTTGAGAGGGTGAGTTTTTTCTTTTTCTGTTTAGCAATAAGACTCAGTAAAACACTGATTAAAATAGTGGGTTCAAAAAAACAAATTTACACAGTCACTTGATTGAGAAATCTGTGGGGCTTCGATGTGTCTCTGCTTTAGATGCTGTAAACGTCCACATCACGCCACAAATTATTATATGTTTCAGACTAGATAAAGACTAGTGTGTAAATGATTATATCCTGCTCACCTAAATTGAAGGTTTGTTGGACATTGACGGGGTAAAAGTTCTTAAAATAATCTGAATTGGGGTTTTTCCTCCCCTGTTTTCCCTCCAGTGGGAGAATCACAACAAGTCTCTGCAGTTGGAGGCTCAGACGTACCAGAGGATCCAGGAGAAGATCCAGGAGAGAGTAATGAACAATCTGGGAACCTGGATCGACTGGCAGTACCTGCATAACGCTGCAAAGCTACTGGCCAAGGTAGTGTGTTGATCATGACTTATTTAGTAGAGAGCTGAATGGCAAAAGAAAATGGACACGTGTGGTACATTACACAGTTTATTTTGGAAATTTTGCACATAAGAGAACCATAAAGTCTTATATTATTATATATATACTACTGTGTTATAATATGTAAATGTCACTGTTGTTGAACCGTGTGAACCATAAAACCCGCTGGTGGATTTTGAAGGCATGTTATCTTTAAAAAATCACCAAAATTATAACATTTATTTTAACAGGAAACTGTAAAAGCAGAAAGAATTGTTTGATTTTCTGACGGTGTTTGAACTACTCATCTGTGATGTACCACTCTGTCAAAACACTTAACCAAAACTAAGCTTATATCTTTAAAATAATTTTATTCTACATGTCTCATGTAAAAAATTGGCAAAAATGAACTATTTGCTTTAACTAGATTCTGTATAAAATAAAAACTCTGTGCTACGTGGTGCAACTGTGAAGCCAGTTGTGACGCAGCTGAATTCAAGGTTTCAAAACTGAAGCTTTGTCCTGTAATTCACCTGTAAATCATGACTCAGATACCAGCATCCTACTTCTAATAATGATCATGTCACTAAATTGCCAGTGCATCTCTCTTAGTGAAGACTCAGTCTGATTTTTAGTCAGAGTTTACTAACTTTCCACAGTCAATACATCATCATGAGTGTGTTTTGTCTTCTTTTATTCCCTCAGTGTCGCTACACACTGCAGTATACCTACCCTTACGCCTATTACATGGAGTCCGGCCCACGCAAGAAGCTGGTGAGAAACAAACTTCTCTCCTTCCCTGTTTTTTTTTTTTTTTATGTTTTCCAGCAGAACTCGCAGTATGAGAACTTATATTAACTATATCACCTGTAGTCTTGGTTTCTTCTCACCCTCCTTCCCTCTCTTTCAACCTATTTTGAATCCTTTCATAATAATTAGACTTTAAATGATCGTTTCTCAGTGAAAGCAGGGAGCGATTCCTTTGGCCTTACATTTCTGTGTTTGTTTTTTATCTGTCCTCTGCAGTTTGAGTACCAGCAGGCCCAGCTGGAGGCAGAGATAGAAAACCTGTCGTGGAAGGTGGAGCGAGCCGACAGCTATGAGAGAGGAGTGGTGGGAGGCGAGGGGGAGCTCAGCGCCAGTGACAGAGGGGTGAGAGAGCACGCCGAACTATGTTAGGATCAAGAAGTACATCAGGTCTATAAGGGGAGGGAAGACGAGCCAGTGTTGTGTGGGTAGAGGACTGACTGATGATGTGGAATACAACCACAGGGGAACATATTATATTTAATGGGATGTACACTAATTAGTGAGGAGAGCACACTGACCACTAACATGCACGTGCTCCTGGCAGACTATTTTCTAGTTCTGTTTACACACATTCTACCTTTAAGGACCATCGAGCAAGGCCATACACTAAAAACATCTGAGTAAAGAACACATCTGACTGTACTGCACAGCTTCCACATGTAAATATTGTCTGGTATGTTTTCTAGTGCACTAGAACGTGTCCTTGTACGCATTTACCTGACTGGTTTTGAAGCAAGTGCATCTGTCTTGTAGGATGATCAGGACTGTGTGGTCAAAGTAAAAATAACTTAGCTGAGTGTATATGGAAGCTTTATTTTAGTTTTCATTTGGGTTATATTTTCTTTTGAAGTGCCTTTTAAGGTTGATGTAGTTTCTCTGTTTAACCCTCTGAACCCCAAATCCCGCCAGCAGGTTTAGAAGGCATGTTGTCTTTAAGGAATAACCAAAATCGCACCATTTACCATAATTTTCAGACTATTGAGCGCAACTGAATATAAGCAGCACCCACTAACTTTAAAAAGAAAAAAAAATTGTACACATATAAGCCGCTCTTGTCTATAAGCTGCAGGTGTCCACGTTGCAGCATGAGATGTTTACACAGAAAGATTTTTTTAACTTTTAATTAAATACGTACCGGTAACAAACACAAATACGTAAATGCTTTTTTCCGAACAGTACCTGTTACATGGCTGGTTAAAATAAACACAGCAGCCTAATATCCCGAATATTTGGGGGTGCCGCGTGGTCGTGGCGGGTGAGTAGTTAGGGTAGACGTAGTAGTTTTGATATCCCAATTCCAGCACAGCGAACGAATAGTCGGCTTTTCGGCTATTTGAGTCCAGCCCTACAGCCTACCAAGAGAAGTCATTGATCGCTATCTTCATCTTCCTCCTGTGCACTAAAACCACTAAAGTTGTCTTCTTCAGTGTCGGAATTGAACAGCCTCAGAACTATTGTCATACACTTCCTCAGTCTCTCTTTCGTTGTCGCCGTCAACGTCACTTTTGAAGCAAATTCGTAAAAATCCATAAATTAGCCGCATCATTGTTTAAGTCACAGTGTTCAAAGCGTGTGAAAAAAGTAGAGGCTCATAGTCCGAAAATTACGGTGCTAGAGCTAGAAAACTGTAAAGACAGAAAGAATCAAGAGATTTTCAACTTGCCAACAATTTTAACAATATTCATCATTCATTAAAGTATTAATCTGTGATGCACAGCTTCATTGGAAAACTTGAAATAAATTGTGATATTTTACCAAAATCACTTTATTTTACGTCTCATTTAAATAAACTGCTTGCATGAACCAGATTCTGTACAAAACAAAACATTCTGTGTCTCGCTGTGCAACCATGAAGCCATCAGAGAATCAGCTACAACTAACAATGACATGACAACAGTGGTGGGACATCTCAGATGAACTGCAGGCTGTGCAGAGCAGAAACCAGCAAATTATCAGTTCAGCTTTTTGCTTTTTATGCTTCATGACATTACATCTGCATTCTGCTGCACTAAACAAAAGCTCTCTGTAGTTGTAGCCATGGTTGTGCTGCTGCCATAGAGGTGCAGGACTTTATTATGTAGTGGAAAATGAGCCCACGGAGAGTTAATGTTGAGGTAAACTTGGGGGTCAGAGGGTTAAAAAGGCTTCAGATTTCCCTTAACTGTATGCACACTGTAGTTGCAGCAAACATAGTTCAAGCAGGAGTAAATGTGTGTTTGATTTGAGCCGATCTTCTGCGGCAGACTGATGCTTGTTTTGTGCTGTAGTGAGTTTGTAATACGACATGTGGGATCGACTCACAATGAAATGTTTGTGGTAATGAAAGAACCCAGTGTAATATTGTGGCTCGCTGGTTTGTCTTAATAGCTTTTTGTTACAGTTCTTTGTAGGTGTTGGATGTTTAATGAGATTTACTGACAATTAGAACAAAGTACAAATTATATTTAGTAATAATTGTGTTTTTTTTTTTTTTTTTGCAGGATCTGGAGAATCAGATGCACATTGCTGAGCAGAGGCGACGCACGCTGCTGAAGGACTTCCACGACACCTGAAGCTCCATCGCGACTGCAAAGCACCAGCATCTCCCTCCTTACTTCCTTCCTTTTCTTCCTTGCCTCCTACCTTCGCTTCCTTCCATGACCATCCCTTCGGTGCAGTCATGCCGACCTCTCTCCGTTTTCGCTTTCTCTACACTCGCTCGTTTGCTTTCCTTCTTTCTCGTCTTCGCCTCCTCTCACTCCCATAACGCTGCAGGGTCACAGAATGGCACGATTGTATCACCCCTTCCTCGTCTTCACCTCATTTACACGTTTTGGCTTCAGAGCGTCACATTCGCAGCCGTTACACTTGCTTCAGCTTTTCACATCTGATGACGTGGGTCCAAGTTTGAGCGTTCAGACGGATACTAGCGTCTAAAAGCAGCATGTCGAGGAGTGGAGGAGATGGAGCTGGTGTTTTTTTTTTCCAAAGTTGTTCCTCTGATGATGCGAAAAAGAAACCTGAAGAGGTAAAACTGCCAAGGATGGAGAAGTTTGTTTCTTTAAGCAGATGAGGAAAATGTAGGATTATGTTTTCCTCTTTAAAGAGCTGATTTAGAGTCTGTATTTGGTGGGTTTATTTCAACCATATTGACTTTGCAGGCGGCTGTAGGTACTGGATTTGTCCAAACACAAAGTAGAAATTCCTCTGTTAGCAAATAGAAATTAAAGAAAAAAAAAGATAAGATGTTCATCGGGAAGAAGCTGTTTGTTTCTGTCAGCTAGTGGACGGTGATACTTGTAGATATTTATCACCGCCACTTCTGTGGTTATGTTTTTAGTAAACCTAATTATCCATCACAGCAACTTGATCGTGAACTATTCTCAATGGATATGGAGACAGCTCAACGTAAATTTATTTAGTTTCTGTTTTGTTTATATAAATTCTGCCATTGAACTGGTGTGTTAGCTGTGAAACGCGGTGACCTCATATTCCCACGTGCTCTTCAAAATGCTCAGAAAAAAAAGCAGAACAGAATATTTTCCTACATATGATGCATGTACACAAGAACGTGTGTCTTCTTTAGATTTCGTTGCCAGCGCTTCACAGCAACGCACACCTTCCTCCTTTGTTTGGTTTTGTGCCAAACCTGGAGGCGCCTCTACCTCCGGCAAATAGTCACGATGGTCCAAGTTAAACTACCGAATCAGTGGCGTCTCCTCACACACTCTGATATTGTTGCTCGATTGTGTTTGTCTTACGTAAAAAAAGACTTGCACCTCCACTGCTCAGATGATAGAAGTTGTCTTGAATGAGCAAGTGTAATGTCCGCCATCGTTCACACACACACACACACACACACTACAGCACCTCCCACCAACACTTACATGGCACGCACACGCCGACACACTCATGCTCAAACACTCCGCTGCAGAAAGCAAACTCTTAATTTGTCTCCGTTCTCCTCCCCGTCATCTCGTGCTCTCTTTCTTCTTTCTTTACCTTCATCTTTGCCCTTCACTTCATTTTTTTTGCCCTTTGTTTTCTTCTTCTTTTTTTTTTTCCTCCTTCCCGCTCACATTGTTCACTTTTCTTCTGGAAAATGGCTGTTGATAGATAGATCGTTTAAAAAAAAAAAATGGGAAAAAAAGAAAAAAATACCAAAAAAAAAAATTGCTGTAATTTTCAACGGTTGTACATTAATACAGAAATAGAGTTACTGAGAGAGTTTTTAAAACCGGACCCTGTCTCTTGTGTGGTAATTACACATACATGCACATACACAGCAGATCTACAAAGAATTTCAGTTTAAAACAAATCAAATATATTAATTATAACACGTTTTAAAGCACCATGAGTGAATACATGTCATCAGACAGGCAGCAAAAAAAGGATAAAACTTCTTAAATCAATGAATACAACAAAATTAAATAGTATAAAATACTAAAACAGGGAAAAACTTGTAACACCAATTTCTAAAATAGAAATAAATATGAAATATTAAGAGCAGCCAAAAACCATAAAAAACAAGTCTGTCTTGAGGTTTTTCTTTGAAATATCAACAGACGAACATTTGATTTAAAAGACTGTTTTAAAGGTTTGAAGCTGCTACTGTGAAAACAGTAACAGCAGTTCTGAGGATTTAAGAGGCCTTAAGGGACAGAAAATATCAGAAATGTACCCAAATGCAAACCCAATGCTTAGGAAATGGATGGAACTCGAGTGAAAGCAACACATTTCCAAAACTGTAGTCGGTTGTTTGTATTAAAAA